CCGACGGGTGAGTTAAACTCATTATAATATGCAAAACTGTTCTCCACTCGCAGCAGTGGGTGTTTATTTCCAAGTCTTCAGTGCGACACGCCCATAAAAACCGACCGTTTTTCAGGAAGGCTCACAACTTGGGTACAAAATAGCCTATTACTTATTCAATTTGATGTTTTTGAATGCAAAAACCAAGCGAACGTCATAAATTGACCTCAGACAACAATATAATAAAATATAAAAAGCCAGTTCATGACCCCTTTAAATGATTACCGTCCCGTTGCCCTTACATCAATAGTGATGAAGAGCCTAGATATATTCTAAATGATGTGCAATGTAATATCGACCCTTTACAGTTTGCCTATAGGAATAAGCGTAGTACAGATGACGCACTTCTGTATATGATCCATAATATCTATTGCCATCTGGATGAGCCCAAACGATATTATAGATTTCTCCTCTGCCTTTAATACCATCAGGCCTCACATTATGATGGAGAGGCTGGGGCAGTTAGGGGTAAATCCTAATATAATCAGGTGGGTTGAGTCCTTTCTGACGGAGAGAACACAGTGTTTCAGGGTAAATGAAGTTGTGTCCTCTCAGATTATGACCAACACATGATCCCCACAAGGCAGTGTCCTCTCACCAGTATTGTTCACTCTTTACACCAACGAGTGTAGAAGTAATACATCCGAGCATCTCACAATAAAATTTGCAGACTATACTGCAATAGTGGGGTTAATACAGAATTGTGATGAGACCAATTATAGGGCCTAGGTGAATTCATTCGCAGACTGGTGCAGGTCCAGCTGTCTTCTTCTAAACATAAAGAAAACAAAGGACATTATAATGGATTATAGAACTGGGAGCCAGCCACACCAGTGCTTGGTTATAGATGGAGAGGATGTGGCTATTGTTGCAGAGCACAAGTACTTAGGCACAATAATAGATAATAAGTTGCAGTGGAATAGTAATACCGACACCATCTATAAAAAGGGGCTGCAGAGACTGTACTTTATGTGGAGACTGAGACAGTTTAGAGTGGACAGAGATATGATGTTACTTTATCACTCATCTGTGGAGAGCATGCTACTTTTCTGTTGCGTTGCATGGTATTTCTCTTTGACCAACAAAAATAGATTGAGCAAGATATTTAACCTGGCCAGTAAGGTCGCGGGGCATAAACTAGACAGTATGGCTATTACCTGTGAAAGAAGAGTGTTGAAGAAAGGTATAGCTATTAATAAAGATACGTCACATCCCTTACACCGGGCATACGAGCTGTTGCCATCAGGGAGAAGGTTTAGGTTACCTTATTTCCAGACAAATCGAGCCAGTAAATCATTTATTCCAACTAGCATCACTTTGATGAACAAGAAGTTACCTGTAGGACTGCACTTTAATAGCACTAATAGCACTTTAATTAGGTTTCTTTGAGTCTTCAGTCCTGATGCTGTGTGTGTGTAGGGGTGCGGTGGGGATGAGGGAATGTTGTATTCTGTCATGTAAAATTGTCTAAATGTATCAGACGTACTGTAGGTGCAGGACAATTTTCCGCAAGGATAAATAAACTTAATCTATCTAATCTATGGTACGGTACAGCTCGGCTCTGTACGGCTCACTTGTGGCATTTTCCATTGCATGGTGCGGTACGGTACGGCTCGCTTCGGCTCGCTTTAAATGGTACCACCTCTGTTGAGGGTCCAAGCGTACCGTACCGATACTAAAATGTGATGTGAACACACTGCAGATCACTGATTGGTCAGACAGACACTACCAGCGTCATTGTATTTGCGAAATAGGCACTTTAGCCAGTCACAGTAACTAAAACTAAAAACTACTTGCTTGACTTGCTTGAAGAAAAAAGAAAGAAAGAAAACTTCCAAAAAGAAATGGCTGAATCGTGGTCAGTGGACGAAGTGCAGACGTTCCTCTCGTTGGTCGCCGAGGAGCGGATAAACTATAACGGTCAGACTACAATCCCACCCACTTTGAAGCGGTACTGCAGTGGAAAAGCAAACCGAGCTAAAGCGAGCCGTGCCGAGACGAGACGAGTCGTACCACACAGTGGAAAAGCGAAGTGAGCCGAACTGTACTGATCCGTACCAGCAGTGGAAAAGCTCCATAACTGTAGTGTGACTGGAATCAGACTCAAGTAGATCAGATCCTGGTTGTTCTTACTGCACTGCACTGTCTGGGACGTTATCCGGCTCAGTTACAAGTTGACTTTGACCATGAACTTAATAGTTTGTTGAACTGAAGTAGATGCTGGTTCAGTGTCACTGACGATTTCGTGTAAATACTCCAGTTTCAGATTGGATGAGGTAAGACCGAGGTGATTCACACTTTCTGAGAATAGTCCCAGATCCTAAACGACCTCTTCCAGCATCCAGCTCGACTGCAACAGTTACAAGTGGAAGCTCTGGTAATGTCCTAACACCGTTTCTTTTGTTGTAATATTCCTGTAGGTCATTTTCGCCTTTTGTTCAGCTTTTCTCTCTTGCCGCAGATCAGGCCATTCAGGTCGCAGGTGAGACTCCACTGTGGGAACTGTAGTTCTTATTTGTCTTCCCATCATCAGCTGAGCTGGACTTACACCTGTAGCTTGAATGGGTGTAGCTCATCAAGGCTGTGAATGGGTGTGACTGTTTCAGGATCCTTTCAGCTTCTCCATTTGACTGGGCATAATAAGGGCTTGAAGTAATGTGCTGAAAATCAGTCTTTGAAAGCACTTCCACTAAACTGTGGGCCGTTGTCAGTAAGGAGAACATTGGGACAGCCCCATCGTGCAAACATGTTCTTTAGACCACCATGCGTTGTTTCACTTGACAAGTTTTAAAGACGAGCAATGTCAATATATCTTGAAAAATAGTCCACGACTACCAAGTAATGTTGCTTATTCACCTCGCAGATGTCACAGCGATTCTCCCCCATGGACGGTCTGGCAGTGGAGTGGTTAAAAGTGGCTCCTTCCTTTGGGTAGGTCTTGACTCCAGACAGTCCTTCAACTGTTAACTAGCTGCTGGATTTCCTGACTGAAGCCTGACCAACACACACTACATCTGGCTCTCTCTCTCTGTGCAATCTTTGCAGTATGTCAGACCTCATATTTTGGGGAATTATGATCCTGTCATCATAAAGCAGTAGATCCTGTAAAACTGACAAATGATGGCGTGCACTGTAGTATGATTTCAAGGACATTAGCTGCATACCTGGGCCGGCCGTCAGTCACATACTGCCTCTTGTAGCTCAGAATCCATCTCTGTCTCTCTTTTCACAGATTCCAGCTTTGTGGGAGAAATTGGCCATGCACCACTGACTGCATTCTCATAGGCTTCCACTTCTTGGACTAATTCAGAGACTACTGTTGAAACGGTTGGCTGAGGGTGTTGTGAAAGCATATCAGCGTCCACCAGTTGTTTTTTCCAGGTCCATATTGTGCGACAGGATTGTAACGCATCATCCGCAGCAACAGCCTTTGACATTTCAGCAGAACTAAATCAAGATCCTTTGCGTTCTTTATGGTCGGTTTGCAGGATGAAACTTTCCAATCCACACAGAAATCATGAGAATTTTCCCCAGGCCCACACAGCCGCCAGACACTCTTTTTCAACACTGGTTTCAGCTGTCCATCATGGTCGGGCAGCAAAACGCCTCCAAGACCGTAGCTGCTCGCGTCTGTGCTGACGACTGTGGGCTCCGTAACATCATAGAAAGCACAGGAGCTTTAGTGATTAGGTGTTTCACATTTCCAAAGTCCTCCTCTTGTACAGCACCCCAGTCCCAAACTACATCACGTTTCAACAGCTCATTGAGAGGTCAAATAACCTCTGAGAGATGAAGAACATGTCTATCCAGGTAATGAATCATCCCTAGCGTTCTCCGTAGATCTGAGACGTTCTTTGGCTTTTCAAGGCGAGTGATAGCTTCTATTTTTGCTGTGTCTGGGCGAATGCACTCTTTGTCTATGACACGTCCCAGGTACCCGAGTTGACTCTGTCGTAACAGGCACTTTTCCGTGTTCAGCTTGAGACCAGCCCGATCAATGTCTTCCAGAGTCTTCTGCAGTCGCTACTCGTGTTCCTCTGGAGTGTTGCTAAATACTAAAATATCGTCCATGAAGATCGCAACTCCTTCAAGGTCTTTGAGGATTACCAACATTTCCCGTTGGAAGATTTCTGGTGCGCCGGTGATACCGAACGATAGCCTGAACTGACCTTTGTATTGCAATGTTCCCCCTGGGCTCTCAAGTTTCACATTGACTTTGTTAAGTTTTGGTTTGTACTTCAAAACTGAGACGGTTTTCTCAGAAATGACACGTATGTCAGCGCCTGTGTTCATTTTAAAGTCTATGCCTGTACCCTGAATTGGGAGTGTGACAATCCAAGCTCCACTTTTGTCATCAATGTGAATTAACTCAATGCATTACATTGCTGCCCTCTTGTGGTCGGCTGACATCATGGACTTCTCGGGTTCTACAAACTGCAGTGAAATGACCCCTTTTCCTACATTTGCGACACTCAGGACTCTTTGCTGGACAAATGTCACCTTTTACATGATTTCTGCCACATCTCCAGTCAGAAGCATGCTCATTTTGGTTTCGTTTTAAGCCGCGGTGCTGTCGGCCTCTTTCACTTTGGTGGAATTTTCCTTTCGGGCCGGCCACCTCGCTGATTTGACCATCAATTCAATTCTTTAATTTTCTCAGTTGAAATCAATGGGGTCGCTGTGTCCATTTCTTTTACTGTGTATGGGTGGTGAGGAGAAGGCGTTGGGGGAGCCTCTTCTGTAACATTATCACCGTAAAACTGCTTTGAAACAATCTATATTGTTAAAAGTAATTTATAAGTGAAGATGATTTGACTTTAATCAAATGTTTTACTTATTTTCAATTTACATGTTTGTTTGTTTTTACAGTTTACCTGAACCTGAAGAGCACAGCTCAGATAATCACTGTTTCAGCATTAATAACAGCAAGAACAGAATATCAGAAACGTTTCTCCTGCAAATCATTGATTAGCATCCAATACAAATGCATGAAAAACACATTACAGGACAGAAGCTGCAGCAAAACAAACACTGAGGAAATAAATACTAGAGGACTGTACAATTCACAGTTTGGCAGTTATAAGAGAAATATAACCCTGACTAAAGATTGAATCATACAAACATACAAATAAAACCATGTTCATGTTGGGATGTGGATTTTGGATGCAAATAAAAAAAAAACTTTATAGAAACAATCAAATCCATGGCAGGTGAAATTGGTATTGTGAATTTGAATGTATGTCCACCAGTATGTCGGTCAGAAGTACCTTTGTGGTTGATTCCAGATCCCAATGTTGATTTATATTTTTTGAAAACAAGCAAAAGAAAGATGCCAGAGGTTGTAATGGAGGAGATAAAATCCCGGCAATGTCAAATATGGGGAGACCACCTACAAATTTACACTGATGGGTCAAAGGATCCTGATAGTGGGAAAGTGGCCTTTGGTAAAAGTATACCCGAATTAGGTTATAAAAAAGGATATAGGATCATTTGTCAGTGTTTACTGCAGAGTTGATGGCAGTTCTATGGGCAGTAAGGTGGGTAGAAGATAACAAAAGGGAGTATTCTGTCATATGTAGTGATTCAGCTGCAACCCTAAATACAATTAAAAATATTAAAACTGAGGCTAGACCTGACTTACTTGTGGAAATTTTGCAGGTGTTGTATAGAAGTCATAAAGCAGGGAATGAGGTGGGTTTTGTGGTTTCCGGTAATGAGGAGGCAGATGAGGTGCCGAAGAAAGCAGTGCAGGAGGAAAGAGTTCAGCTTGATTTGCAGCATGGGTTACCAGATTACACAGAAATAATAAAGAGGTCAGTAAAAGAAATGTGGCAAAGGTCGTGGGATTGTGAAAGGAATGGGAGAGCGTATTATTCAGTACAAAAAATGGTAGAGAAGACAGATGTAATTATAGATGTCAGAGAAGAGATGCAGTAGTGTTATCTAGATTGAGGTTTGGGCATTGTGGGCTGAGAGGTGGGCTGGCTCTGATTGGTAAACATCCTGATGGACAGTGTGAATGTGGAGAAAAGGAAACAGTGGTGCATGTATTAATGCAGTGCAGGAGGTACTCTCAGCAAAGGAAGAAATTGTTCAGGGAACTGGGAGCGACAGGAGAAACTGTTTTTAATTTATGCTCTTTATTGAATTTGGACAGTTGGGAAAAATTAAAAAAATTGATGGAGTATTTGCGAAGTATTGGAGTATATAAAAAGATATAGATAAGCAGTTTTAAAGTTGTAAATAGCGATTAGAGAACAGAGGAGGGCAACAATACGCCACAGCTGCGTCTAGCCTGCCGGAAATACAAGAAGAAGAAGAAGAAGATCATCACGGCCCAATCACAGCCACCGTACTGACACTCAGATCAACAGCACTCTTACTCATGTGAGATGGAGTAAATATTGGAAACATGATGAAAGCAGGAAGATCCAGATCTACAGGAGAGACGTTTACTGACTATTGACCGCTAAGATCCTCAGAGAGTCGGAAGAAGAACACCGGAAGAATGGAAAGAGTGTGTCAGTGAAGGTGACTGTGAGTGTGTGTAGATGTGTGTTAGTTACAGGATCAGAGAACGACACCGTTCCTCCATTATAGTCCAGATTCACTCGCACACGATCAAGCTTCTGTTTAACAGGAAAACCAGAACTAAAATACTGTCCGTCTGGATCATACTCCACACACCAGACATCAGTGTTGAAGAAACCTCCTCTCTTCCTCTGGTTTGATGCTGTAGTTACTCCAAGAGCCCAGTATTTACTCTCTGTAACGTCCACATCCCAGCAGTGTGTTCCTGAGTTAAATCCCTCTGAACCCAGAACACACACACGACAGTCAAATCTCTCTGGATTATCAGGAAGAGTTTGTCTGTTCACGCTATTTCTCACACTGGTCAGATCATCAGACAGGACGAGATATGGATTCGCAGTGTTTGGATCCAGAATCACAGGAGCTGATGAGACACAATCAACACATGCTTTTATTCTGATCTTCATATAATGATCAACAGTGAACCCAACACAGATTATTATGAATTATGACACTCGTCCTGTTGATCAAACTCATTTTCCTCTGATCACTGTCAGTGCTGTTATTAGTTTCACACTCGTTTTATCATCAGCGTTTAACGGCATCAACTACACACATTAAATATGAGATTCAGACATTTGTGTCCATCAAGAGAAACTGATACTTTGGGAAAGTTCAATAACAATAAATCAATGAGATCTGTTGATATTAATGCTGTGGATGAAGAACTGGAAGTGTGTGTTTGATCTTCGGCAGCTTCTGATCATCTTCATTTATTGCCTCTTATAGTCTGTGTTTTCTTTTAAAGTAGTTTATTCTGAGTAATAAATAATTTCTGAAGCCAACATAAGTCAAACACAACAGAAATGATTTATTATTAGTGAAGGCAAAGCATCTATTGTTATTCGTTATTGATAGATGCACCTCCGTCACTCCAAACAGAACGCCGCCATATTTACGCCCGATCTCGCCCGGTTTGGCCGCCCAAACTGCCCATTTCAATGAGAGAGAGAGACAGAGATACCTTGAGAACATTTTAATTTTAGGCTCCGATCCTTCTTTGTTACCCTCAGTTTTCTTTTGTCCATTATTATCTGCCCCAGACTCAATTTGCCTCCATGACATATATATATATATATATACAGTATATATCTTGTGCATAACTCCTGCCCATAGACTACAGTGGGGATCGCTTGAAGGACCGATGTATATCAATACTCTGTGTCTGGATGAGTAAAAGACGTAAAAGTGCGGCACCTGGCCACCAAGGATTTATAGTTAATCATGGGAAATGTAGGTATTATAAATTTAAAAAAAAAAAAATCATATGTATGATTTTGGTGATAGTTTGCTCAGACTAGGTAGCATTGTTAGCTAGCTTAGCTGTCATTAATCTGGATCAGCCCTGTCATGATAGTCAATAAATCAATTAATCGCACAAAAAAAAAAAGAGCTCGATAATTTTTCCGGCCGTGATAATTGCCATTTGCATGCTTGTTTCTTTTCCTCATCTCTCTCTCTCTCTCTCTCTCTCTCTCTCTCTCTCTCTCTCTCTCTCTCTCTCTCTCTCTCTCTCTCTCTCTACCAAAGAGACTGGATATGACAACTCTGTTTAAGACATAACCGACATATTTTATGTGAGTAATTTTTTACACTGCATATTTTATGGGGGACGGGGGGCTCTTGTGGCGAACGAATACTTATTATTATTTTTACAAACAAAACTTCGGGACGAGTTACCATTTGTTGCAAATTGCATAGAGATTTTGTGTTGAACATGGCTCTGGATCACAGTGCAATAGAGACAAGGGGGCGGGCTCATTTTACTCATTTAGAGCACCCTAGCAACTAATCCCATAGACTTCCATTCAAAGAGATCATAAGGAATATTTTTGGATATAAGTGTCATAGAAACATGAGGGTGGGCTCAGCCAATCATAAATCACCTAGAACACTTCCTAGCCATGCCCTAGCAACCACTGTCGAGCACCCTAGCAACCCAAATCTAAAGAGGGATATCTTCTAATCTGAATATCATAGAGGAGTTGCAGTTGGTTTATATAATTCAGACTGGCAAACAGACTTTGAAGTAACATCACTGACACTGGCAGCTGCCAAACCACTCCCTAGCAACTAAACAGATTACCCTAGCAACTGTTCAGCAAGACCTATATCTCTGCATCAGAACATCATAGACTCATGGCGGTCGGCTCCATTGACTAATGCTAGAAAACAGGACTTCCATCATGCTACAAATGCTAGCAGAATAGCAATTAGCTAAGTTTTAAAACATGTCAACAATGCTTGCTAAAACACAGTAGCAGCATGATAATCATGTTAGCACTATGTTAACAATATGTTAATCGTGTTATCTATCTATATAATGTTAATGTTGCACTATGTTATCTATCTATCTATCTGTCTGTCTATCTATCTATCTATCTATCTATCTATCTATCTATCTATCTATCTATCTATCTATCTATCTATCTATCTATCTATCTATCTATCTATCTATCTATCTATCTATCTATCTATCTAACTCTTTAATCCATCATGTCCAGCTCAGATGTTCAGACTCACTGTTTTGGACGATGTCCTGCATCTTCTTCCAGACTCTGAACGGCAGGTTGCCCAAGTATCGTGGCACATGAATCAAAGCTCCAGAAGCCATCTGTGGATCCGGCCGTGAGCTCTGGACTCTGGAAGAACATTCAGGAGTCAGAACTGCAGTGGCTTTGGATCAGAACCAGAGAGACCAGAGACAGGAGCAGATCACTCACCTTTCCATTGAGACTGGAAACTTCTGCAGAACAAACACACCATTATCATCAAGAACTCAATCAATCAACCAATGATCAACCAATGATCTGAAATCAGACCTTCAGAAAGCAGACGTCACTGGCTTTCATCATCTCCTCCATGTCTTTGAGTGTGTGTGAAAGAGCTGAGATGTGTGTGTTCATCTCCTCCAGCTTCTCCTTCATCATCTGCTTCTTCTGCTCCTCTTCCTCCCTCAGTGCAGTGACTGTAGCTTCTTCTTCATCTCTGAGAAACTGATGAAGCTTCTCAAACTGCTGTTTAATCTGACGCTCTGTGTGCTCAGCTTGAGCCTGAAATCACATCACATTCACTTCAATCATCTCAATCCACACTTTACATCATTAATATCCAGGATAAACTCCCATACCCGACATAAAACTGATCCAGAAGCAGATTGCTGCTCGTCATTTACAGAAATAATAAACTGGAATCCATTATATCAAATCATAACTGTATATAGTGTCCAACAGCTGGAATGAAAATGAGTCTCGTTTCTGTTTCCTCACCTTGATGTGTTGAACTGTTTTCTCAAACTCTGCTTTCATTGTTGAATTGCGTTTAAGTTTCTCCTGTAAGGACTTCAGTGCTGTATTGAGCTCCTCCTAGAATTAAACAAATACAATAAAACACCAGATTACAGTGAAGAGAAGACAATACAATGTCATCTCATATAGATCATATTTAGGGCTGCAAGAAAAAAATCGATACACTTCAGTATCGCAATATTTCATTTTGCAATACTGTATCGATTTTCAAAAACGCAATATCAAATTTTTTTTACGTGCAAAAATATTCATGGTAAGACCGTGGTTCACGTTTATGTTGTGTTTAACTCCCTACCACTAGATGGCTATGCTGAAATGCACCACTAGTGTCCACATCTAACAGTGTCTAACTTTTTGCTAGAAGCTAACAACAATAGCTATGGCTGAACCGCGTGTAAGACCGGCTCCCGCTGCATTACGTGCTGAAGTGTGGAATCATTTTGGTTTCCTGAATAAAGACGGCACCACCGATGTCAACAAGAACTATGGAGTTTGTAAACTGTGTCTGGGAAAAATCAAGTACTCTGATAATACCACAAATATGAGGGCACATTTAGCAAGAAACCATTCAGACACTCAGTTAAGCGAACATCAACCTAAACGAGTCAACCCCTCACAACTCACCCTTGCTCAAGTTCAAACACACAAATTTCCAACAACCAAAATAACCCAGTTGTTCGTTTATTTCATTTGTAAAGACATGCATCCGCTCAGTGTGGTGGAAAATGAAGGTTTCCGTAATAGGGTCCAAACAATGAAGCCTCGTTACACTATACCGTCCAGGCTGGAATGTCTAGCTTAAGCTGAGAAGGTTGCATTGACATGTGACGCTTGGACGTCTAGGGCAACTGAGTCATATGTGACTATTACGGTTCATCACATAACTTACCAATGGAAGCTGGAATCCTCTATACTGTAGACGAGAGCGATGATATATATTGAATCGTGACCCATGTATCGTGAGACGTATCGTATCGCCAGATTCTTACCAATACACAGACTTAGATCATATAAGGCAGTGAAAAAGTATTTCCCCCATGCTGACTTCTTCTGTTTTTTGTGTAAATCTCATGATAAATATATTCAGAAATCACAACCTGAGTAAACACAAAGTTTGTAAATGACAATGTTATTTATTGAAACAAAAAAGTTATCCAATACCGCCTGAGCCTGCGTGAAAATGTATTTGACCCTTTCGTTCCTCAAATCTATGAAACTGCATTTATAATGCCCATTAAAACAGACGAGCCGACTGCAAATTTAAGTCTGACAGGAGAGACCATCGCCGCTCATCTCTGCTCGCCCACGGCAGACTCAATGAAGACTCATTCAACGAATAGGTTCCACTTCTAACTTAGTAAAGCGCAACTGCCTTATCTTTAGGGGTGCTTGCAGAAGTGATGGTCACTACTACATAACCTTGTGGTAGCCACCTGAACCTCCCTGTCCAATTTTTTGAACACAGGTGCCATCATGCCCCGTCCCTGAAATGTATTCAGGGGAAGTCAGGAAGGCTGTCGAGGAAACTAGATCTAGTTGGGCCAATAAGGGGAAACTATCAAGACCTGTTCCACCTGACTTACACAGTAGATGCAAGGGACATGCGCGCACAATACAGGAGCATTGCTCAACACTAGATGTGAAGATCACTGAGCTTCAGGAGCATCTTTGCTCAACACTTGAGTGTGATAAGATTCACTGAACTTCAGAAACATAGCCGCTGTCTTAGAAGGCTCCCTGGGGAATGCATTTCTGCGGGGTCAGCTCAGAGTCCCTAGGGATGTCCGCTCAGACAGAAAACAAAACTGGCAGACGGACGACTTTGGAAAGGCAACAGATGTGCGACCCAAAGTTGCCCCTGCCCAGCTAGACCGCCAGGGGATGAAGTCTCCAATCTCCCTGGCCACAGGTGCCGTGAGGCTTGTTGGCGGGCACGATTGAGCAGCCCGGAAGAATTTTATAGTGGAAAGAAGCGACCTCAGAAGCTTCTGACTCCAAGGAGGAGGTGACGGGCGAGTTGTGACATGCGAGGGAAGCTTAGCGCATTGGTCGCGATGTTGGGGCGGCAGTGGCTCAGTGGTTCATGTGGGTTGTCTACAAACCGAAAGGTTGGTGGTTCAACCCCCGGTTCCACCTGACCAAGTGTCGAGGTGTCCATGAGCAAGACACCTAACCCCAGCTGCTCCCGATGAGCTAGATTGGGCCTTGTATGGCTGACACCGCCGTCGGTGTATGAATGGGTGAATGTGAGGCAATATGTAAAGCGCTTTGGTGGCCATTAGGTCTATGAAAGCGCTAATATAAATGCAGTCCATTTACCATTTGTCTTTTTGGACCAGTACCAGCTCGCTGAGCAGCGGTGGCTCAAAGCGAGGTGAACTGCTAACTCGAGGTAATGAATACCAATGCAGTCGGAGGTCACCCAGGCCTCCGTTAAAGCATGGCCTTTGTACATGGCCCCTCAGTCGATGTTAGTGGACCTAAAGGTCTGAACACAGACTGAGAGTTTGGCGGCAGGCCAGGGTGATCTTTTATTACATAGGGCGTGCCGCTCTGCCAAGGTCACCTCGGGACTCACTCAATCATAAAATTACGAGACGGCCAGGGATGCATGGAAAGGGGGATGACCGGGGCGTCGAACCGCACCCAGTGCTGGTGAATAAGAGGGGGCTGAGGGGTGCAAGGCTTACAGGGTTGCACACCGCCAGACTCTAACTCCCGGGACCCAGGAACAGAGGAATTTGCTCTTTCTTTGAAATGTGGGTACTGCTTGCTCCGCTTCTTTTGAGAGCCAGCAGTGGAACAGACACACACTCAAACAAAGACTCCACCCAGCCCTCACCCAGGTGACCAACTCCACTCGTGCCCCGGAGGGCAAGATCGGATGCAGCGAAGGCAGCGGCCGCCAGACCCAGGTGCACCTGTGTTGTGTCAGACCGCTCCACTGGAGGGATAGCCTCGCAAACCTTCACCGGTCCTCCATCAAGGGTAGTGAGGGGGAAAAGCTATTCAGGCATTTTCTGGCAGAGAAAGGTGCCATCCACAACCTGGTAAGCTGGACATGAGGTGCCGAGCTGAGAACCAGCGCAGCCCGCCCTGAGATACCAATCCTCCAACCGAGACTGAACGGGACATGATGGAGTGTTTCACTCGAGCTCGGCAGCCTTGGTGGCCCGTTAAAGCATAGCTGACATTTCTGGATCTGGCTTTGGTTCGTTTTAACAGTACTCGAAGATGACAGGCAAAGCGTCTCAAAGCGTTATCCAATCTGCGTTTATGACTCATTGGGCCCTATCTTGCACCCGGCGCAAATGACTTTATACACAAACGCATGTCTCATTCCTATTTTGCACGTGCGCAAAGCAGGATTTTCCCCTCCACAGACGCACGTCGGTAAACTTGGGAATGAACTTGCGCTCCCTGGGCGGATCGGCGCAAAAAGGAGGCGTGTTTCGGCGCAAACATTCCCTGGTGCTATTTTACACTTCCAGAACACAATTGTGCCACTGACCAGAAAAAACCTGGTCTAAAGTCAGTGGCGCGTTGCGCGTTTTTAAGGGCGCATGCTTGGCCATAATGTAGCGGGTGCACAGCGCGCATACACTCATCAACACAGATGCGGTCGTTTTTTATTTTTGCAAATTATACATAACAAGGAAAAATATTAACACATGAGGGAAATCATTGTGGTTTACATGAAGATGAAAAAACCTATAGGTTTTTATAACTATAGTTACCCATTTTTTAAGGCTAATTGTAGTACTGAAGGATCAGACCTGTTTGCCCAATAGTGGCAAGAAACATACGTATATAATGTTTAACCGACGCTGATGTGCGAGAGTTTCTCCATCCCCATACAACGTCACCTCTCTGTCTTTCACTGTCCTGATGAGATCGTCGGTCTCATCGGCTGTGAACGCTCCTGGCGCGCGCCTGGTAAACCCGCCGTTATAATAACAATCTGTTATGCAACATGCACACCTGATCTTAAAGGGTATGTTGGATGGCGCTCTGATTGGTTTATTTCACGTTACGCCCAAACCACACCTATGAATAATGAAGCTACTTCAGACCAACCCCTTTTAGATTTGCGCCAGGAGGCATTTATCCCGCCGGGAAAATAGCAACAGCGCCGGGACCCGCCCACAAAGTTACTTGCGCCATGCGCTTTGACACTTGCGTTTCAGATCGTTAAAACAGGGCCCATTATGTTTGTCTACATGTGAATCCAGAAACATTTGTCTTACCTTATATGATGAAACCACTTCTCTGATGGGTCTGAATTTATGATTGTCATGTTGTTTTGAATCTCTGCACACTAAACACACAGGCTGTTTATCCTCCAGACAGAAGAGCTTGAGTTTCTCACTGTGTAAACTGCAGATCTCCTCAGACCCTGATGAACGCCTCTCATTTCTCTCCTTCAGGAACGACTCACACAAGTTTCTTAATGCAAGATTCACTGGAGGATGAGGTTTTGAGGATCTTCTCCTGCAGACAGGACACTCCTGAGATGTCTTGGTTCTCCAGAACTGTTGAAGACACTCTTTACAGAAACTGTGACTACAGGATAAAAGAACAGGAGTCTTGAAGATTTCACAGCACACAGGACAAGAAAGTTCTTCAGCAGAAACATTTAGTGAAGCCATTTCCACTGTTTGAGCTCCAGCAATCTAAACTTTACTTTCACTTTCTGAACGACGGTTTTAAAAATGAATCACCATGAGAATCACAAAGATCAGAATCAAACTTGTTCAGGAAGAAACTTCTCAAATTCTTCTGTAAAGTTTTTCTCTTCGTACTCCACTGATCGCTGATTCTTTATTGCTTTTGTCGAGACAAAGTCAGTATGGCAGAAAAGAGAAATAACAAGTCCGTCTCTTCCTGGTCAGTGTTGTAAGAGGGAGGAGCTTCTGATCAAGTTGGTTTGTTGAAACAAGTCAAAGAACAACATCAGGATGTAAAATGAACTTGCATTGAAACGTTAAGATTTAATGCTATAAAGCCTTGGATAAAGCCCAAAAGAACAATGAAAATACTCAAATATTAAAAATACTTGTGTTTTACTCTTCTTCATTCATCACAGAGTTTCTCCAACGTCTGTCATGATCCATTCTTTCTCTAAATGATTTCTTCTCATGCTGAAGTTTCAGTGATGAACACTCATCTGTTTATCATGCTGATTGTCAAAAGTTTGTCTCTCAGGGATCACTCGTCAGCACATTTATTAATACTTATGTATTTCTTGTAAATTATGAAAAATATACTCACGCATAGACATTCAGTCCCATCACTCTTTCTCTGACAATTTCACTAGAATTATGTTTGTATTTATATATATATGATCTTACAGCCATGTCCTATTGATTATTATTATTAAGGAATTAAAGATCCATCTATAATTGTAGAAAAATTCTAAAAATTGGCTTGTTTTTGTATATTTTTTTGTTGTTTTTGTTTTTGTAGTTGCTTTTGACTGTGACTGTTCAGATTTAAAGCCTGCCTGAATGATTGATTTGGCTCTAGATCAGTGGTTGCTAAACTGGGGTGCTGCGCGGGAGAATGTTTGCAATGGTGGGGATTTGACTCTTTATTATTTTTACAGATTTAACTGAGGTAAACTTCACATGCCAAAGTTTTATTGAGAAATAAAATTTTACATTACAAGAAGTAAATTACTCATGATTTAATTTCATTTTACAAGCATGTTTGTGTCACAATATCCCCGCCCTATTCATAATAGGTGCTAAGGGATCAATTCATTCATTTATTTATTTTTTCACTTACAGTCATCGAAATTGACATAAAAAGACGGGCATTTTAAAACTGCACTATGTTACTTTTTCAACGTTTATAATATTTTTCCAAAACCCTGGAGATGGTGCATCGACTTACAATAGGTTGAATAGCCTGACAGTGTCTGTATCGCTTTTGCTGGCACTCTGTAACTTCCATAGACAGTAAAAGATATGGACACAGCGACCCCATTGATTTCAACGGAGAAGACTGAAGCCCGATTATTGCACTTCCTGTCTGATGTCTGAGCGACTGCGCAGGCTCAAACTGAGCGTGACGACAGTCTGACAGCCTGCTGTAAATCTTCTAGCTGTGCCATGACAAAACTGAATCACCTTATTCTTCAAAAACAATTGAAATATATTGTCATGTTGCTTTTATGGACTCTCTATCTATTCTACCTTGACTTTATGCCTTCATGTCCCCCGATTGCCTTGTAGACAGTGAAAGATTGCCTTGAGCTTCTCCTCCTGTCTATACGGTAACGTCTCTATTGTGCGACAGAAAGTCCCGTGGTTATAATAATAATAATAATAATTCATTACATTTATATAGCGCTTTTCTCGGCACTCAAAGCGCTTTACATAGAGGGGGGGATCTCCTCAACCACCACCAGTGTGCGGCTCCACCTGGATGATGCGACGGCAGCCATAGTGCGCCAGAACGCTCACCACACACCAGCTTACTGGTGGAGAGGAGACAGTGATGAAGCCAATTGGTAAAGATGGGGATGATTAGGAGGCCATGATGGACAGAGGCCACTGGGCAAATTTGGCCAGGATGCCGGGGTTACACCCCTACTCTTTCGAAAGACATCCTGGGATTTTTAATGACCACAGAGAGTCAGGACCTCGGTTTAACGTCTCATCCGAAGGACGGTGCTCTTTGACAGTATAGTATCCCCTACTGGGGCGTTAGGACCCACACAGATCACAGGGTGAGCGCCCCCTGCTGGCCTCACTAACACCTCTTCCAGCAGTAACCTGGCCTTCTCAGAAGGTCTCCCATCCAGGTACTAACCAGCCTCAGCCCTGCTTAGCTTCAGTGGGCAACCAGTCTTGGGCTACAGGGTGATATGGCTGCTGTGATGACGCAATCCTTAGCCTATTTTTACAAAAACGGGACCGTAACGTAAGATACACAGTAATGGAGTGTTTATACATTGTTGTGTTTCTTTAGAAATAAATAATGGACAAATGGAGTCTTTGGACACCTCAGATGTAAAGTTATTCGCTGTCAAAGTGACGCTAAAATGAATGGGAGTCAATGGGATGCTATTGCTAACAGCAGGAGAAGCTCAGTTACAATGGCGACTTCCGGCGGATGGATTACCGCCTTGTGATAACCACAAATTAACCATAGTTTTGCTATAAAAAATTCTAACTTTTGATTATTCAAATATTCAATACGCCTATAATATAAACATGGTTAATTTCCCGTCTCTCTCTCTCTAAAATTGCCGAAGCTATTTCAGACCATCTCGTCTCAGGTTTTACACGACACATTGTCCAAACATTCGTGCTGTAAATCAACAAGCTGATCCTCCATCTCTGCTGTCCACATCATTTCACTTTGTGCTGCGCCATGACTGTGTTTGTTATGCTTCCGTCTTCCGTCATCTCGCTTTCTGATTTGATGTTTCGTCTCACGTGATAATCTCCAGAGCGTGCGCACGTTTGTCCTCGGGGTTCCCCACACACATCTGGATTTCTGATCGTAAATATTCAACATGTTGAAATGTTGAATATTTTAAGATGTTAAAATAGTCAAAAGATTTGAACTCGTTAAATAAAGGCAACATGGGTTTATGGTCTGTAACGATGGTAAACTTCCGACTATACAAATACTCATGAAAGCGCTGTGAGCCGAACATTACGGCCAACCCTTCCTTGATTTAATGTCCGTGACATCCAATCACTACCATCAGGCATCTTATGTGAAAGAACTGCACCGAGACCTTAAGGAGAAGCATCACATGATAAAATCCCATCCTTCTGAGGGTCATAGTGGACCAGAACTTGTACTGGATCATTTCTTTAGTCTGAGCAAAAGCAGCCTCTTGTTCCCACACCAGCTCCATTGTGCATCTTCAACAGCAGCGGCTGCACAGGGCTGAACACTAGACAAGTTAGGCAGAACTTATTATAGTAGTGTAACTCCGTCACATCCTTCTGAATAGCAGTGACCTTTTCTGGCACTGGGTGTAGGACAGCCTCGTCTACTTTATGGCCCAAGAACATTACCTCTTTTTCATGAAGGAACATTTGCTCCGTTTCAAACGCAGTCCTGCTTCTGCAATCTGTCCAATACCCTGGAGATGCTCCTCCTCGTTGAGACCGGTCATCAAGACGTCATCCAGGAAAACTGCCACAGACGGTAAACCTTGCCGTACTCCCGCAACGGTCCTCTGGAATAGAAGAAACTCCAGAGGCTAAAACACGGTGAGTAATCAACCCCTTGTGGGTCTTCAGGGACATATTTCTTGGACTATAATGCAGTCTGATGGTCAGCGTGGCTCATATCTAGTTTGGTGAACTTCAGTCCACCTGACAATGTTGCAAACAAATCTTCTATTCGAGGGATGTTGTACTGTTCCGACTCTGAAACTCGATTTACTGTTAGCTTGTAGTCACCTCATAGTTGTACTGTATTATCAGACTTTAACAGCGGCACTACAGGTGCTGCCCATTAAGAGTTTAACAGGTTTAATGATGTTTTCTCTTAACAGGCGCTCTATTTCAGCTTCTACTTTCACCTTCGTTGCATAAGGAACTGGCCTGGCTTTGAAAAATCTGGACACAGCCTCCTTCTCCACATCATTTTATGAATACAATTTAATAATATATAACAAAGTGTTTCAAAATGCACATTTAAAATCTCTGTAAAAATAAGAATGTGGGGTAACACTTTATTTGAAGGGGTGTGCATAAGACTGACATGATGACACTGTCATAAACATGACATAACACCTGTCATGAACATGAAGGAGTCTTTATGAATGTTTCTGTTGTCATTAAGTGTCTTTCGGTAAATTATGACACTTTTAATGCAAAGTTGACATTGTTTAAAATGTCTTTGTTATGATAACTTGACATTAACCAAGAAATTATAACTAGTCCAACGTGTTCCACTTTACTTGAGGAAAGGGGAAATATTAATGACACTGTTATTAAAGCATTTGACAGAGGAATAACCCTTAATGACATCTTTATAACTAGTACAATGTGTTTCACTTTACTTGAGGACAAGTCAAATATTCATGACACAGTTATAATGGTGTCAAGGCCAAAGTTAAAACCAACCATAACATATGACAGAGACAGGGTAATGTAATATGAAAACAAAGCTAAATAACTCTTTTAAAGGGTAACTAAACCCCTGGACAAAAATGCTGGAAAAGTGGGCAGAGCCCAGCGGAGATAGAGCGGACGAAATAGATGCTAAAACACTATCCTGATCGTTTTCAATACTCACAATTCCAACTTCTGATTCACTACGAAACAATCTAGTTTTTATACTGCCGAAGGGCGTAGCTCGTACCAAGAGCGTGGTGAGCTGAAACCTGCGTACGTCACGAAGAGCGGAACATCCAATAGGAAAATTCAACTGCAGTAGCCGCCGTTCAACCTGAAGAGGGCAGCACTAAGACGCTTTTACACCATATTGTAGAAATAAAACATTTTATACACAAATGTTAAAAAAGTTACTCGATGACTGGTATTAATGAAGATCCATTCTTACAGATCATTAACTAAAAAAAGTTGGTTTAGGGTTTAGTTACTCTTTAAGTTTGATAATTAGACCTGTTATGACATATTTGTGACAGGTTGACAGGTTATGATTTCTTGGTTAATGTCAAGTTATCATAACAAAGACATTTTAAACAATGTCAACGTTGCATTAAAAGTGTCATAATTTACCGAATGACACTTAATGACAACAGAAACATTCATAAAGACTCCTTCATGTTCATGACAGGTGTTATGTCATGTTTATGAATGTCATCATGTCAGTCTTATGCACACCCCTTCAAATAAAGTGTTACCGAATGTGGCGTCTGTCAAACGGAGGAAGACTGTTGGAGTTTCCAATACTGCCGAAAAGAAAAGTAAAATAAACA